GGGGGTTTTATATTAAAGTTCAAATGCATTTTTTTTTTATTGTATATTTCATGTACTTCTTTAGTGGCCAGTCAACGTTTCGCCAAGAAAATATCTTAAAAGGTGTTTCAAAATATTCGCGAAGGTAATAATATAAAATATAATTATATATGTAGAAAATGAGACTCTCCCACTTTAAATGTTTCAAATTCGTTTTCCAAAACCATCACCACTTCATATGCAAATATGAAATGCGAAATAAATAAAATGATATCATCATCTAACAAATTAACCATCTCATGATTTGAGTTTGAGCTGCAACAACCATTCACTTGATCTTATTTTCCAAGTGCAAAAATGGCTATGTTATGGTGTAGTCAAGTATATACATGAAAAGTTCAAAAACAGAAAAGGTATATACATGCAGGAATCCAATTGAAAAGAAAATAGTCTTGGGACCATCGGTAACACAAAACGGTACCGGCTAGTAAATTATAATAACAAGAAATAAGAGATGATACGCATAAACTGAAATTTTGGAAGCTTTTGCAAAAATCTGAATACCATATGATAAATCTAATGAATTGTTTTCAGTTTATGCGTATCATTTTTTTGTATCCATCATATTTCGTTCTAATCATATATATGAATAGATGTGAGCCCTCTCCCACAATTTGACACATCATCATTTCAGATGAATTTCCAAGTGATAAGTGTCAACTTAATATTAAAAACATAAAAAATAATAATTATTTTTATTAATGCATTTGGTGAATATGAAAAGTCTATTTATTTATATATTAAAATTATAAAACTGAATTAATTTATCTACAAATAATCAAATTAATATTGAAAATTAAATTTGAAATAAATAATATTTAAGATATAATAAAATCAGATAAAATTAATTTATACCAAAGTAGAAGATAAAAAGATAATTTGACAAAGGTGTTGGTGTAGGCATATAAATCAGTTTTATCGTGACAAGTGTCAACTTAATATTAAAACCACAAAAAATAATCTTAATTATTTCTATTAATGCATTTTGAGAATATGAAAAGTCTATTTGTTTATATATTAAAGTTGAAAAACTGAATTAATTAATCTACAAATAACCAGATCAATATTGAAAAAATTACATTTGAAATAAAGAATATTTAAGATATAATAAAATTAGGTAAAACTACTTCATGCCAAAGTAAAAAATAAAAAGATAAAATTTTACAAAAGTGTTGGTAAAGGAATATAAATAAATCTTGTCGGGTCTATGGAGCTCTGGTGATAAATATATAAAATTATATTGGATAACTATGTTTCATCGATATCTATAAGATGATAGGCTCCCCTAAAAATAACATATAATGTTATAAATTAAATTCTAATATATATAAAAATTCATTACATTTAGTAAATATACATTATTTAAAAAAGAATTTATAAGTATGAAATTCAAATGAAAATATTGTATTATTTATAATAAAATATATTTTAGAAAAAATCTGTGCGTATGCGCGGATATAAGTCTAGTTTTATCTAATAATTTGTTGCATGTCATAAAGAGAAAGTATGTATCCACTATTTCTCTTAATTGGTGATGTGAATGTGGAAATCATTTTTCACCTTTATTCTTTCCACTAATAGATTCCTCCAATTATAGCCGTAATGAATGGTTCGAGCGCAAAGCCTTGTCGATGTAAATCATATTCCCACTTCTTAATTTCTCCTAACTGGACCATTTCTGCTAAAGTCAAGGGCCGTCACGATTGTACAGTTGTTCTTGTGTGTGAAGTTTTTAACTGATTCGCACTTGTTTTGGTTATATTTGGGTGGAATCATGTCAAATAAGATTATTTTTTAAAAAAATTATAGTAATTTGTGAAACATCATAAATTATGGAATATAATTAGAAAATGCTAACAAAAAATCACGCACGACGACTTGTCAATGTCATGTTCCAATACACGTCTAGGTTCAATGTATGTCGTCGCTTCTCTAGCTAGTCATTCAATTCACACACTCCTTATCGGTTCATTACATTTGATCTTATGCTCCTTTCCATGAAAAAATTAGGGTTCAAATTTGGAGTTGGATTCAATTCGTTTTTAGAAGAGAGGTTCTGTTGAAACCAAATGAAGAAGTCATATGCGTATCTCTTGTTTTATATTTATCTACAATAGTACGGTAGACGTTTGTACTGGTTGATGAACCAAAGCTACGATACAATTAAAAAAAAATTTACGTTCAGATTTTTTGAAGTTCATTTTATAATATTGAAAAATAAAAAGTAGGTCGACAAAATGCAAACTGTTGAAGTGTTTAGTTGGAATATGCTTTATGGATGCTGATCAGTGATCACTATCTCCTTGGTATTAATTATCATTAATCAAAATATCTCATTTAGAATTTAAAACACCAAATCACGTCAGGAAAAGAAACTATGTTACTTGGTCGCCATATAGTTTATAAAAAGAATAGTAATTAACTAAAACAAAAATGGTCTACAAAATAAAATAAGGAGAAAAAAAAATAAGCAGCCGGTTTACTCGTTACACTTATTGTAAATCATGGCGTTTGTATATAGTGTATTAATGTAGTATTCAAGGAGTCAAAGAGATCGAAGATGGACAAACAATAAGAGGGAACTTGCGGCAAACATCAAAGGCTTCAGCTAGATCAGGCTTAGCATTAACCGTTGTAATCATTAGTCATCCAAAGAAAGATCAGATGCTTCTTTTGTTAAAAGTTATTCTTTTAATATGGCGCCATGAGGTTACAGTTTTATAGATGCTTGGGATTGATTGCTGCCACTAGAAGGAAAAATGGAAGTTCTTGGACAGGATTGTTGCTGTTTCTGATTCTTAGTTAAACCACAAGTTCTAACGTAAGAGCATGTCCATCGGTGTAGAGAGATGTTTTTGAATATTTAATATATATAAAAACAATATAATTTATTTATATAATTAATTTTTTTTTTAAAAAAATGTGTTAAGATATGTATGTAGAAATGTCTATATAAGGAACATTTTTTTTTATATAATTTTTTTTATTAGATATCCTTTTAAAGACGCTGATAAAGATGGTCTAAGATAGAGAAAAACTTTGCTATTCTTAGCAAAAGTGCAGAAATAGTTTTTATCTGTTTTAATATTCTTCTAACTTTCTTGAATTTTCTTCTGTTCCATATAATATGTATATTTTGTTTTCATGATTTTAGATGCTAATAAAGTAAGTATTATGCAGGAGGAAAACTTTAGAGGTTCCAAGGATAACCATCATAAAATTCATTCATTGATTGGTTTTTAAGTTGCTACACCAGAGAACGTCGATGACATTTTAAAGTTTTGCCATCTTGCGGGTGAATGAAACATAATAATCAAACTATCAAAACGTTGGTGAAACCCCTGAGAATGTTACACATTCTTTCAAACATCAAATTTCGTGACGCAACATAAGCCGGGATTGGCTTTTGTTCAAGCAGAGCATTGCACATAGCTACACTATCCAAGGCCGTAGCAGCCGCCTTCATTGCTGACACGTAGTCCTTAGAGCTCACAAACCCTTCAGCTTTCCGGATCGCGATAATGGATGAAGCATACTTTCTCACGCAAGGCCCATATGGGATGTCGGGATTATGAGTCGTGAATCCTAAGTCAAATAGCATCCCGAGGTTCTTGTGCCCCAAGCCCTCCGTCTTTCGGATGGCCATACCGATAAGTCCTTGAATGTCGAGGGTGAACGTTTTTGGGTCAGAGCCTAGCCAAACGACGCAGAAGTGCTTGTAAATTGACGGCTGCATCAAGTGATTCCTTTGTGACTTTTTCACTCGGAGAAAATGATGAAGACAAAGGGGTGATTGATAGAAGAAGGAGAAGAGGGAGAATCGAATACAGGCTTCTTGTGACGCAAGAAAAACCCATTGTCTTTGGATGTCGATGAAGAACTTTGCGTATTCTTTACTTAGTTAAACGTGGGAGTGCTTATTGCTTTGTAATATATATACATGAGTTTTTGGTGTGGCAAAATTGTAAGTCCTGTTTGGGATAGGATCTTGTTGTGGTTTAATGAAATCTTGACCAGATTTATCGTTGACATTATTTAAAAGCTTTATAGAAGGAACGTAATTTTTTTTTAATAGATAGATTTGTCTTTGTATACTTACTATGTTAGTTTGGTATAGAATCTTGTTGTGGTTTAATGAAATTTTGACCAGATTTATTGTTGACATAATAGAATGTTTGGTATTTAATTTTGTATATTAATTTAATAAAATAAAAAATTGTAGTATTGGCACATCAACGGAAATGACATCCAATATTTATTCTTTAATATATAGTAATTTGATTCTAATATTGTGTACATTCTTTGGATTAACGTTTGTATTATATCATCCAAAAGTGTTAATTATTTGGATTAATGTTTGGCTCAAATTCAAAAGATTCAGGCATTCATCATCTGATCTTTCTTTGGATGACTAATGATTACAACGGTTTAGTTGGCTTATACGTAATGATGACGTAATATACTGAAATGGACTTCACTTTATAAACAAAAAATGGTACCTTGTATAGTATCGTGAATTCAAAATTTAAGTAAATACATTGCAATTTCAATTATTATAAAAATGAGTAATTATTTGAAAATGATCTTTATTTCTTATGATGATGATGATGATATATATGTCAATAAGATGTAGATGTGGAATCCACGAATCTGGTGAACGTGCAGTTGAAGTTCTCTGGCGCGAGAATTGTGGCTCGAAATATATAATACACTAAAATCATTCGGTCCTTGAAACAAGATGAAAGTCTTAGGTACTTTTGTTTTTGACCAGCGATCTTAGGACAGAACACGCTTAGTGAGTATTCTCTAATCTTACAGGATGTTATTGTAATAATCCATTTGTTTTGTTTTACAATTTGATAAAGAGAATTGGTGATCAAATTATGACCTCGATAACGGCGATTTTTTAAACATTGATACAATTTTTTTTTTTTTTTTGGGTGTTTCTTCTGCGAAAAAAAATGTCAGCTTTGTGTCCCGTCTGCAATCTCACTCTTCCTCTCGCCCAAATCGAAAGGTAACAAACAATCAATCCCTAATTTTTTCTTATGCTCCTCTTGCCATCAATCTTCCTCTCTGGGTTTTCAAGGTCTTAAATTGATTCAGCCATGTGAATACTCACTTCGACGACGATGAAATCAACCCACAAATCGCAAGCGATCACCACTTGGCTCTGCAACTCGCATCTTCTTCCGATCCTTCTTCGTCTTCCTCATCTGTAAAGCTTTCTTCGACCCTAAAAATCTTCTTTTTTCGATTGCAGAAAACCTCAAATTGACAAAAAAAATTGTTTCTCTTCTGCAGAACTTGGACGGTTCCTTGGGTTCGCACAACGACGTCGCTTCCTTGGTGCGTTCACAGACCAAGAGCCCGTTTTACAGCGTAGGAAACGGTGGTTTGATTGGTTTGCTCAAGACTTGCCTGGAATCAGAACTGAAATCGAAAATTAAATCGAAACCTCTAGAGTGCAGCACGAGCTTGCTATCAGGCTTTGTTGATCATTTTCACTCCTCAAAGGAGGATAAAGGCTGGGGCTGCGGATGGAGGAACATTCAAATGCAGTGCTCTCACTTGCTTTCTCATAGAGAAGAAGCTAAAAGAGTTCTCTTTTGTGGCTCTAACTTTGTTCCTGACATTCCTTCGCTCCAGCGCTGGCTAGAGTTAGCTTGGAACAGTGGTTTTGATGTCTCTGGAGCTCTGCATTTCAATAACCAAATCTACGGTTCCAAGAGATGGATCGGAACCACCGAGTGTGCTGCTCTGTTACGTTCTTTCGGGTTAAGAGCCAGAGTCGTTGATTTTGCTCCAAAGAAATCTTTACCAATGTATCTTTCAGTTCCTGGTTCTGCTGTTGCTCCCAAGACAAAGTCGTATGGTCCCATGGACAGATATGTGATTAGAAAGTGCGATAGCGGGAAGGAGAAAACAGTTGACTCTCATGGTTCTGATCTTTCTAAGATCAGCAAAGGAGCGGTTTTGATGGATTGGGTTTGGAACTACTTCTCAGATAACAGGTTAAATGTTTCATCTGGTGTTCATATGACGGGCAAAGCGTAAGTGGTTTCTTGATGTCGCTGATGTCTTTTTAAAAGAACTTCAGAGCACAGTACGTTGGTTGGGTTCCTGAGTCGTTGTAATCGTGTGTAATGCAGGCCCTTGTATTTTCAACATGAAGGGCACTCAAGAACAATCGTTGGGATTCAGAGACGCTTGCAAGGAACTACATTTACACCTCAGTACAATCTCCTGATCTTGGACCCGGGTGATGTAAGCCTACTGTTGTTTTTCTCATGAATAGGAAACGCAGTGACGACATGCTTATGTGTGCATTCAAGCATATGAACATGAGCTGAATGTGATTAATGATGGTGGACTTTTGAATGTGAATGCAGTTTACAAAAGGTATAGAGAAAGCGCTTGTAGAGAAGAGAGGGTGGGAGGGATATCTTAAAAGAGGAGCACACACACTGACGTGTCCCGAGTATCAGGTCTCAGCTTCGAACTCTCATATCCATCATTTCTTTGTTATTTGATTTGTAATTTGTTCCGACTGTGCATGTGAGAGATTATGATGATGCATAGTATACATACAGATGTTGTACGTTGATAATGGGATTGCTGATGGAGAAGAGTTGGAGCAGCTCAAGACCATTGATAGTCACTTTGTTCAATTCTAACTAATGGCTTACATAAAAATTGAAGAATGGTTATGGGGGGGTTCTTGAGTTAATTGCAGTTACATACTTCTGCATCAAATTGTAACATTTGTGTGCTAAATAAAATGTGTTGAGAATAATTTTCAATAGTGCAGATTGTTCATAATTCTTCAGAATATTTGTTTATCAAGAATAGATTGTGTTAAGGCACCAATGTGGGATATTAGTGAAAAATAGTACTAAAGGACGGAAAAGATGTGGCTATTTATTAGAAACATTGAGAAATGCCAATAAAAATGTGAAAATACAGAATGGTAATATGAGATTTAACCAAAGTATAGCATCACCACCTAAAAAAAAATAGAAATGTCTTTTTCCAAAAGCAGTTATAAAGACACTGAGAGATCGAGTCATCAGGAAGAACTTTTTCACATCTCCCAGTTTGGTGATTTCCTTCCTTACTCTTCCTCTGGCACCAAAACTTTTCAAAGTGTGTCTAAAAATGAACAACACAACCTCACTGTTGCTCTTCCACAGGCACCTAAAACTGCGACAGGATTTGTTTGTTATCTAAGAGGCAGACGCAGCCACCTTCCTCCGTACAATCCTCTTTCGCCGAGCCTTTGGAGGTGGAGAATCTGAGTTCGAATCCGCTTGCTTCAAACCAAGTAGCCCTGAGACAATTGCATTCTTTGAGATGAACCATCTTGAAGATGGCTTGGCTACTGATTCCTCCGAGGGTCGGTTGTATGCTTTTGCTAGCAGATCATCCGACTGAGCCAGCGGGTCTGCCTCCACACCTAGCCATACTTGTCTTGACCTTTCCCCTAACTGAACATTCATAATCCTGTGCCATATCCATCCATGTTCATTATACAAATCCTTCTAATTTATGATCACCAGACAAAAGGTTTGCCTGTGTATGTATGAATGAGAGAGGAGAGAGTGGGTGAAAGAGAAGAATACCTCACGGCAGTGCCAAAGAAGAGTGCTACTCCTATGACATCAAAGTGGTTGCTCATTGTTCTTTCAAATCCACATAACAACTGATATCTCATGTTTGCATATAATCCAAGAAATGCGCCATAACCAAGAGCGTTTGTGGTGATTGATGGGACTGTCACAGATACTCTGTCGGAACAAAGATACAATAACTCATTAATCAACCATAGATGCTGCCCAAGTAAATGCCAAGAATGTTATATAATCATACGACAGAAAGAAGAATATATGTGATGACCTGTTTTTCTTCTTTCCCGCCAGAAAGTTTGACAACGAACCCTGTAAAGCTCCTGTCGCGACTCCAAGAATGGACAACTCTGCGGCCTTGTAGAACACAGAATGGATTCTCTTTTGCAAGTCGAACTCTCTAAGAGGATAGCTCATTTCAAATACATTATTTGGTAGCTTTTGCAGTGTATTTTGCAGGTCAAACCGAAATGTGTTTCCATAGGAACGGCATGGAGCTAGCAACCAAACAGCTGCTGCATTGCATGCTGACACAGTAAGAACATTTATAAGTGCAAGATCCCATTCCTCTTTTATCCTGCGATTAACAGAGAAACCAATTTACGACAATAAACCAAGAGGCTACAAAACCTATAAATACGATAAATTTTACGTTCATGGAAAGGAAAATACCTATTCTTACGAGTCTTCACCTCCCACCAAACCGAGCATCCAATTGTGGCAGCTTGCTCCAAAAGAAGTCTGTAGAGAAACGAAGGATCCGCCAACATCCTACACAAGACACTCACATAGTCAAGCATCTAGTCTGAAAATGAAGAAAATTCATACATATTCCCAACAAACATTAGATGTCCAGAAACTTATAATTTTAGAGAATTCATACAAATTCATGCAGTTACAAACTTATAATTTTAGAGACTATGAAGAAGTCCAGGGACCCCCAAAATCACCTGCCAATAAAGGCCCTCGACAATCCCTGAGGAAGAGCACGGGAGATGAATCTAGTTGTTGTAGGACGAGCATTTATGGCAAGGAATTTAACCATTTGTGCTGAGCTGACCAAACCCTGCACATACAAGTTTCCGTAAGTTTTAAGATGTCAGCATCACAAAACTGCTAAGAGGGAAGCTTTAAGAGTATCTTACCATTTCATATGCTTGACGGAGGCCGGCAGGCAGATCCAGCATTGTTTTTTGCCATTCGTTCAACACAGCATCAACAAATTTCCTATCAAAAAGCTGGAAAAAAAAAACAAAAATTTCGTTACTGGGTGACACACCATGACAATTAAAATCGACAAAACACAAGCGTAAAGATCTCTTACCTCTGCGAGGAACATCCTGCGCCTGAAAAGTCCACCCTCCTCTCCATCATCGTCATCATCGAATTCATCAAAGTAATCATCATCATCACCGTCATCGTCACCTCCATCGCCACCACCGAAATTGACTTTCTTTCCAATGTCTCCACCACCTCCTCCAGTTGCAATCTGTAATGAAACATGAATTTTAAATCCACATAGCTAATCTTTATCTGGACAGTTGAAAATTAGATTTCACTGCAAAGCCTATATCATCCCGCAACTGCTATCTCCTAATATCTTATAGAGTTGCTAATCCAGTTATACAGTATGCATCCGCTGATTATCGCAACACATTTTTCAGCTATACAGTATGCTTCATCTCCTTGATGTTATCTATCACGAATTTAAAAGCCCCCATGTACTTTATGCGAAATAAATGATCAACTCATTCGGCTTAAAATCAAGAAATGTATCTAGTAGTTCAGGGACATGCTCATGTAGCCAGAAGATAGATAAAAGGCGCAGCCTTTAGAGATCATTTCCCCAAACAATCCCAAATAGATTGATTGCTATAGTCAGGAACAAGAAGACGCAGACACTGAAATTTCACGCAATTCACCAAACGATGGCTTAAACAGAAAGTGGACCAGAAAGAAAATGAAGTAGAGAGAGAGAGAGAGAGGGAGACCTCAGGGCTTGACTCGACTTTCTTCTGGGTCATATCGAGCTTCCCCTTTTCCAAAGTAACCGCTCCTACCGAGCCGAACTTGCCACCTTTCATCACTGGAGACATCCGAGCAGCTGAAGAAGCTGCATAGGAGGAGCCAGAGGAAGATGGGTCTAGTTCACCGCTGGATGCTAGCTGTAAGCAGCGCTCAAGACCTGAAACCGATTCTCCGACGGAATCGATAAGTGAAGAGGAAGATACCCTGATGAAGCCGCGACGGAGCTTACAAGGCAGAGTCGCAAGTGGGCGAGGGATGGGTAAGCTGGGTTTGAGCGGAGATAAGGGTTTTGGAGCGACGACGCTCTGAAACACCATGTGCGACATGGCTCTTGAGGAAAAACCAAACCTTGAATTCCGATAAAGATTTAGGCTTCCTGAGGAAAAAGGCGCAGAGCCTTTTCTTCTCTCGTAGGGCTGAGAGAGAGGGAGAGAATGAGAAGAAGGAGAAGAGGATTTATCGCCAATCAGACGACTGCAGAACAAACCCAATCTCGCTTTCTGCTTTTTCCACCAACACAAGCTCTATACTTCTGGATGACATAGAGGGTCTCAAGTCGGTTGTAAAGGGCCAAAGAAGACCATCCAAGTAGACGCATACTTTTGGTAGCATCTACGACACGAATACGTCCAATCCGAAGTTCATGGTTCGGCTCTTGGCAAATGTCAAAGGGAGGTTAAATCGAATGAATTTTTTTATTTTGGGTGTTCACTTGTTATATAATAATCTATCGATTAACGAAAATAATGAAAACAAAACATTTTGATACTAATCAAAAATCTCCTTATATCAGTTTACACGCTTCACAGAGATACGTACCTCAGAGAGGGTTTTTTAATAATAATTATACAAACCATTTAATGCAATGGAGAAAAACAAGCAAAGAAGAAAACAAAAATGACACATTACAGAATAGAACTAAATTAAACACGCACATAGTGTGATGGTGGTGAATAGCATCGTCCTCTTCCTTTAGTTAATTTGGACTCAAAGCTTGATTATGAATATATATCTAACAGATATACACTCCGGTGTCTTCAATCCGGGATCTTCTGCGCAAACTTGGCTTAGCCGTTCAAGAAATCAAAATCAATTGGTTGGCTTCTTATTGGAGGATAGGTTACTTGTTGCCTCTCCGTTGCTGCATTCTCTATTGGTCTCACAGTTTCAGGCGGTGGAGGTGGTGGCGGCGGTGTTGCTTGGTTATTATCCTCTGTGGCTACAGCTGTTTCTGTGTTCGGAGTTGAAGACGGATTGCTTTTGTCTTCCAAAGAAGTTTCCTCCTTCTCTACCACAGGAGGCTCGGACACTGTCTCTGTCACTGGTCCATCAACAGGTGCTGCTGACTCATCAACGGCTGCAGTTTCCGGTGCTGTTGACTCTTCAACGGCTGTAGTTTCCGGTGCTGCTGTCTCAGAAACAGCCGCAGTTTCAGGCGCTGACTCAGTCTGTGGTGGCTCAGAAGATGGAGGAGCTTCAATAGCCAATGGCTTAGCTGGTTCTTCAATGGCTAATGGCTTAGTTGGTTCCGGCTGTGCAGTCTTCTGTGTGAGTAGAGGTTTTTTGGGAGCTGAAATGGAAGCAAAGATTGAAGACATTCCGGGAGGTAGAATCTCGATTGGAGGCTTTTTGGATGCATCAGATAAACTCGTGAGCTTTGGATCCTCAAGTGAAGCCAAAAACGCACTTGCAGCATCGGTTTTAGAGGATGGAGCTTGCTCAACTTCCTTGTGCAGCGTTTTATTCCAAGCCTGGACCAAGTTCTTTAGTGTTGGACGACCATGTGCCTGTGTGATCGATTACAGTAAGTGAGAGTCAGAAACAATACAAGGTTCATAAGAAAGCGAACGGCAGAAAGAAAGAAGGTGAAAAAATATTGGTAAAACTGAAATCTTACGTGGGCATGAAGAACGGCTTCTGCGAGCATTCCCGTGTCTTGCCATGCCTTCTCCATGAGCGCATTGTCTCCCAGAACTGCGGCAGAAAATGCTGATTCTCGTCCGAGGCCTATGGAGATCAGATTGTTTATCAGACCCTGCAACAAAGTTAAAATAGTATTTCAATTAACGACCTGCTGATACTAAGTATAGTATAAGTTTCAAACTTTCAACTTCCGCCTACGGTTATTCATGTCTTTAGATTTCTGTAGGTATCCTACAATACCAGAAACCAAATTAGAAAAGAGAAATTGCAGACATACACTGAGGCGTGTCAATTCTCCATGGTTTGCTAGGCGTAACGCAAGGCCTCGCAACTCATGACCCTGTAAAGCGCCTTTGACCGAACCTGCAGTGGCCAGTCTTTTGAGAGCTTCGCGAGCAATGTCGGCGTGCCCAGTGGCATCTGCAGCATCTATAAGCTCAAGAAACTCCTTTGCAAATTTCACTATTCCCTCCACAGCTTCAACAACATCTTCTTTCTTCTCGGCTGTCAAAGAGAGAATGTCACTCAATTCAAGGCCTACACCATCCTGTCCAATGTCCTTGCTATTACTCATTGTGAGAAGACAATGAAGAGCCCTCTTCAGATCATTACTCTGCATCGCTAGATCAAACTCCAGCCTGCGAACCACATAAAGAGAAGTCTAATTATTTTTCCTTTCTTTTATCTGTTGAACTGCGTGAACCCTAGGCGAAGTGAAAATGATCGCTGATAGCATTTTCGTGTGAGTTGACAGATAGAATGAAAAATTTAACACATGTGAGTAAAACACTGAAATCTGTTCACTATCCAGCATAAGCAATTCAGGGACTGGAGAAAGCTGTGAATAATAGGAACAAAACGAAGGAATTAGCTACGCCAAAAATTACATATGCTTTTTTTACCTCTTAGATATTCCAGGCAAATGAAGAGCTTCTGTTGCGTATCCCATTCCTAGCATAAACTGTGCCAGATCGTCATGATGTTCTCTCCCAAGCCTACTTGCCCTGCACAACAAAAACATAAAATGTTGTATGAACAGTCCAGCTAGTTTGCTACTCGCGTAAACACAATATTTAGGAAATGTATCAATACCATTTAACTGCACTAACAGCATCCCCGTACGCAGCAAGACAACGACAGCGGATACCAGGATGGTTCAGTGATATGGCATGGGCACACATGTACCTACAAAAGAAATGGAGGTGTCAGGCTATTTATCTCGTAGTTAAATATTTATATGATCATTGAAGCGACTGAAATGACGATCATTGCAAGATAATGCAACATGGTAACTCTGTGAGTCTATATATTTTTTGTCCGTTGAAACCATGAATGCAAATGTCAGATGTCAATGAGCCTACCTAATGCGTTTTAAGAATCAAAAAGAAAAGACCATAATCTAATTAAAATATACGTGTCTCCAACAAAGGAATGCTTTTTAAGAGTCAGTCTAGTTTTAAGGTAAGAAGAGGGAGACTCCTGATACCTGTCAATGAGCCAAAGAACTCCATCTCGTACACCAGCAACAACAAGAGGCCCCACTGGTCGTTTTTGCTCCACTGGGAAACGAGTAACAGCCACTGAGACTCCCCCACCCCCTACAGCTACCTCATTGATCCTTCTTTCATCCATGTCATCGCCATCACCTCTAGATTGTCTTGGCAATGATAAGAATGGCGGAACAGATGGAGCATTTTGGAAAGAAGCTAAACGCACCACCTACAATAGAAAGTGTTAAGCATGAGGTGTCTCTTGCAAGTTTGACAAGAAATGACATAGATGTCGATATAAATGCAGTACAAATACACAGGCTTAGACCTACAAAATTGAGCTTTAAAAATATACATATATCTCATGTAAAAGCAAGAAATGTCCACCTGCAGCATGGGGGGCCTTAAAGATATTCTTTCTTGCTTGGCACTCTGGGTACCTTCTACAGTGATTAAGGCTAACTCGCCATGCTCCGCAACTGCTCTAGCCTGTGCCTCCTTAAGTTTCATTTCTTCCTTCATCTTCCTAGTCTCTATATCAATTTCAGAAACTCCTGCGTCCACAAAAACACATCTGGAAATCCAGGTATGGAAGAAAGTATTAGCATTCCTCCCAAGATATTTTGTTTCAGAAAATCAAAGCAACCATGCGCTTAACGAAGTCAGGATCAGTGAAAATACTTTCAAAAAGTTAGAATCGCTCAGAAGTTGGATTATGCACATTTTAGATAATCAATAGCTGTTGATACACAGTGCTGCCAAAACAGTTCTCAAATTCGAGTTTTTATTTGTTTCACCCAAGTGAAAGCAGCATATACGGTTAACTGATACAAAACCGAAAGAAGTCCTTGTATCATATATAGAACATTAATCTTACTCAATCGTGGTTGGTGTAGCAACAAACAGCTGCCTGCGATGCCAAACAGCTCCAGTAGCATGTGAAATGGCAACATCACCAAGATATCTATACTGAGGGCGCAAGGACGATATGACCATGTACTGTTGATAAGCAAACGCACAATACTCAACTGTTTGGTCCCAGGCTGTCCATTCTGGCTGAGGTAACATACCACCTACTGGCTCAAAATTTTCCCAACTACACATTGAAACTTCCATGTAGATTAATATGGAACCAAAATACTTTAACATGATAAAATGCCACAAAATTATAGTAGCCAATAATCACCTGTAAAGCTGGTAGTTTAGGGGTGCGGAATCAGCAGATCTCTGTGAAGAACCATCATCATAGCTAGAAAACGAAGAAACATTACTGTTTCCAAATCCTGAGAGTGGCATCGACTGAATGGTTGAAATAGCTGTTGCAGAAACAGGACTAATCCTTCGGGATGTGCGATAGCCTATACCAAGTAGAGCACCACCATGCAGACCAATGACCTGCAAGGAGAATTTTCAAGGCATAAGATTGTTGCTTACCTAAGCCTAGAAATCAACCATTGACATACTGCTTTTTGATATTTTTTTCCAAACTAAATAAAACACCACTTGAAGTCGAGAAGAATCCTCGATGCGTAAGATTCTCATGTTCAGCAACATTATTCTTTTGGTCAAACGTCAAATTAATAAACAACTGGATTCTAAGTTTGAATTATTTTTTTGGGTAGTATTTATTCAGTATTTTCAATGCAAACTTCACACAAATTCGTAGAAGCATGATCAGAATAATTATTCAATGGAACCACTTCAATAGATCTGCTCAAGAAGACACTAAGACGATCTGAGATATATGAGAAAATGATGAATTGGATGTGAAAGATGGCTTTAAAACACATCAAATGCAGTTACGAAATGCAAGAACTCAAGTAAAAGACACATACCGGTTCAGAGCGACCTCCTACAGATCTCATGAGTATGTTTGAGGTTCCATCATCCAAGAGAATACGAACTTGGACACT